CCTCTTCCTCCAGCAGAATAGCTTAGGATGTTTTATTTTTGAGTTATATTTGTAATGAACATTTTTGAAATTGACATTTTAGTAATTTATAAAATTTTTGAAGTTATTTTTGGTGTTCAGTTTTGGTTTTTGATGCCTGTTTTATTCTAAGTAAATCACTTTGGATAACATAAAGTGATTTTAAGTATCACTTTGAATAACATAAAGTGACTTTAAGTAACCCAAGGAATTGACCTAAGACACTAAAATGAACAGCAAGGGAATTGACTTCGGATATACATGAGGCGGACCTCAAATATACATATGAGAAAAGATAAAGTAAATCACTTCAAAAGTAAGGTGTAATTGATTAATAAAATGGTAATCTAGAAAGTAAAGTGACTAAATAAGTCACAATGAATTAACTTTCAGGAATAAGTGAAATTCATTTCCAATATACAGAAGGGTAGAAAGTGCTGAATCACTTCGAATGTGAAGTGAAAGTCATTAATAATATAAATGAATTGAGCTCGTATATACATTGAGCAGAAAGAGAGAGAATAATGATGATTGTAAAAATAAGATAAAGTTAGGAAGAAATGAATTAAGGGTAAAATTTCTTCAAGTTATTGACATTCCAGACTCTAGGAACCCTTTTGCTTTCAGTGTCCCGTAGGATATAAGCACCTGGGTGCGGCACTTCGGCTATAGTGTAGGGGCCTTCCCAGTTAGGTGCTAACTTTCCGAATCGAGTTTCGAACCCCATTAGACCAGCTCTCCTGAGAACAAGGTCTCATACTTTGAATGTTTGGGGTCAAACTCGTTTATTGTAGAAGTTTGCTATTTTCTGCTTGTAAACTAAAGTCTGAAGTCGTGCTTCCTCTTTGACTTCATCAAGTAGATCAAGGTTCTCTCGAAGCAGTTGTCCATTTCGTCTTTTATCGAAATGGGTGACCCTGAAGCTTGGGACTCCTATCTCGATAAGAATGATTGCTTCGATACCAAAGGTCAGGTGATAGGGTGTTTCACCTATTTCATTTAATTATAATTTTAGAATGCACTTTACGCGTTATGCATATTTGATCTAAGGTAAAACCGTAGAAGAAGAAGAAGTAAAATAATATGAAAATTGATCAAGTAAAACAAGTTTGAAGTAATATGTGTGGCAGTTCGGCTCATGGTTCTGTATGCCCAAAGGACGTTGTTGAGCTCGTATGCCCACCTGGCCTTATGCAGCTCTAACCTTGGTTTTATTTCCTCGAGTATAACCTTGTTGACAGATTTTACCATCCTATTAGATTCTGGGTGGTACACCGAGGTGAACTACAATTTGATCCCATAACTAGAGTAGAAATCTCTAAATGAGGAGTAGTTGAACTGAGTTCCATTATCAGCCACAATCTGATTCGAGATCCCATATCTGCAGATAATTGAGCTAAAAACAAAGTCTTCGACCTTCTTGGAGGTAAGACTAGATAATGGTCGAGCTTCAACCCATTTCATAAAATAATCCACACCAACAATCAGATGGGTTACACTTCCTACCCCTTTCATATATGGACCTAGAAGGTCAAGTCCCCACTGAGCAAATGGCCAAGGTGCTATCAGAGTAGTGAGCTCTTCTGTTGGCTGGTAAATTAGATGTGCGAAGAACTGACATTTTTTACACCTCTGTACAAACTGAGTGGCATCTTTGTACATGTTGGGCCAGTAATATCCTTGTTTAAGGACTTTATGAGCCAAAGTTCGAGCACTGATGTGACTTCCGCAGACACCTTCATGCACTTCCCGAAATGCATATTCAGCCTCATAAGGGTTCAAGCAACGAAGTAGGGGGAGTGAGAAAGATCTCTTGTAGAGGACTTCATTAACAAGGGTGTACTGAGATGCTTTCTTCCCCAACCTCATTTTTTCCTATTTATCAGTAGGCACTGTGCCATCTCGTAAAAATGAGATAATTGGATCTATCTAGCTCGGTGTGCTGGGATCTGTGTTGATCTCCATCATTTTTGGCTTTAAGAAGCTAGGTTCGTCCAGAATTTCAACAAAGACCGATCTAGAGCTTTAGTTGCCATCAGAAGCAAATTTGGAGAGGGAATCTGCTTGCTCATTTTTAGCTCAGGGTATTTTGCTCAAATGGAATTTCTGGAATTTGGACTTCAGTTTGGCCACCATAGTTTCATACTTCGTCATGACAGGATCAACCACTTCACAGACTAAGTTGACCTGATTGACTACTAATTGTGAATCACTGTATATTTGTATTGCCGCAACCTTCAGTTCTATTACCAACTGCAAACTGAGTAGCAGAGCCTCATACTCAACTATATTGTTTGTTGCATCGAAGTTAAATTTTAGAGCATGTTCACTTCTGTACCCATATGGGCCAAGTAGGATTGTGCTAGCGCTAGAACCTTTGTTACTTGATGCTCCATCAACATACAGAATCCAGCTATCCAGCGCAGGCTAGGAATCAGAGTGTGCCAAAGTGCATTCTACTATGAAATTTGCAAGAGCGCTCGAATTGTTGACCTCTGCTGAAATATTATCTTAAATTCTCCCAATTCAATTGCCCATTTGATCAATCTTCCTGAGCATTCTGGCTTTTGTAAAATTTGTCTAAGGGGCTGGTCCGTGAAGACTATGATTGGGTGCGATTAGAAATATGGTCTCAGCTTCCTGGTCGGGGTGACAACTGTTAAGGTTGCTTTCTGAGCAATACAGTATCTGATTTCAGCTCCATGTAACACACTACTGGTGTAATAAACTGGCTTTTATTGCTTCCCTTCTTCCCTCACTAGCACAAAACTGATAACTTCATCTGATATGCCAAGGTACAAGTAAAGGATTTCTCCATCATTAGCCTTTGTCAACAAATGAGGTGAGCTAAGATAAGACTTCAGCTCATCAAATGCAGCTTGGCATTCTAAATTCCATTCAAACTTCTTTTGTTTGCCAGATTCATCCTTCTGGGCTACCAATCTCATGATTTTGAAGAACGGTAAGCATTTATCTACTGATTTTGAGATGAATCTATGAAGAGCTGCTACTCTCCCTGTCAGCCTCTGTACATCTTTTACTGACTTTGGTGGTTCCATCTCGACCACTGCTTTGATCTTCTCGGGGTTAACCTCAATCCCCCTTATAGACACCATGAAGCCTAGAAATTTTCCAAACTCCACACCGAAGATGCATTTTGCTAGATTCAACCTCATTCTGTTCTTTCTGAAATTGTTGAATGTCTCCTCAAGGTTGGTTAAATGATCTTCAGCTTTCAAACTCTTCACCATTATATCATCAACATAAACTTCTAGATTCCGGCCTATTTGAGCTTGGAATACGATGGTAACCATCTTCTGGTAAGTGGCACCTCCGAAAGGCATCATCACATAGCAATAGATTTCATCGCCGGCATAGAACGAGGTTTTTTCTTCATCCTCAAGAGCCATTAGAACTTGGTGGTAGTCGGAGTATGCATCCAAGAGACTTAATCTCTCGTTTCCAAAAGCTGCCTCAACCAGCTTATTAATGTTTGGCATTGGGTAACAGTCTTTTGGACATGCCTGGTCGAGGTTAGTATAATAAATGCACATCCACCATTTGCCATTTATTTTTTTCACCAACACAGGATTGGCGACCCACTCACAGTAATCGACTCGTTTGATGAAGCCAACTTGTAGGAGTTTTTCAACTTCTTCTTTAATGACCTTTAACCCCCCCCCCCAAAGAGGCGTCGCTTCTGGGCCACTGGTTTCTTGAGTGGATTAGTGCTGAGTTTGTGTTGAGATACCAATGTGGGAGTTCTCGGCATGTTTGCTGAGGTCCATGCAAAAACATCTTTGTTATCTCGAAGAAAGGTTATCAGCTCTGCTTTCTCCTCAGGACTGAGTCGAGTTCCTATCTGTGTTTTCCTGTTCGGATCTCTGTCATCAATTTGTACTTTCTCAACATCTTCACCTAGAGCAGCTCGGGTTTCATCCTCAGGTCGGTTATCAAGGATTTCAACTCCCATCACTTGCCGATTGTCATGGATTTCCTGGGGAGGATTTTTTGCTAGTTGGTCTTTGTCTTTCTGTGGCCTCGTGACCGAAGTGAGATAACAATGTCTAGCTACTTCCTGATTGCCTCTAAGTGTTGCTATGCCTATGGGGTTGGAAATTTTATGCAGAGATGAGATTGAGAGACCATAGCTCGGATCTTTGTTAATGTGGGCCGGCCAATGACAACATTGAAAGAAGAAGGCATCTTAACCACTAGAAACCGAACTGAGGGAGCCACATAGGTTCGGCCACTTCCAAACGCAACATTCATAGTTAGGATCCCTTCAACTGGAACTAGTTGGTTGTTGAAGCCATATAGGGGACCATCATATCGTTGTAGCAGAGTTGGGTCGAGCCCTAGGCTCTCAAAACAGTGGTAGTACATGATATCAGGTGCACTGCCAGTGTCAACAAGTACGTGCTAGACTTGACAATTGTTGATCATTACAGAGATGACCAAAGGATCATTGTGAGGTGTTACCACCCCTTCAAAATCAGCAGGTGTAAAAGTGATTGGTTGATCTTTCCATTCAGCATCATCAATTTTCCTTTTCTGAGCTCGGTTCTGGTGCTTGACCTCTCTGACATATAACTTCCTTTGTTTGGAGCTCATCCCTCCAGCTTCCAATCCTCCTGTAATCATGTGTATGATTTTGGCTAATGGTGGAAGTGGAGGTGGGGCTTGTTGATGTCCCACTCCTTGTCTATTTGGTGGATTACGGGTTCCTTGAGGCTGTGGTCCCTATTCTTTGACAAATCTTGGCTGTTCAACTCTCTAGATGTACTCATTCAACATTCCTTTTTGAGTTAGACTTTCCAGTCATACCTCAGACTGTTGCATTGCTCTGTTGTATGACCGTGATCTTGATGAAAATCACAATATCTAGTATGATCTCGGCTAGCAGCAGTAGTTCTCATTGGCCTTCCGAATCTCGATGTGGAGGTTGGCATCGGACCTCGGTTCTGTGCTGTCCTCATCCGTTTCCTGCTCGGATTCTCATCTCTCCAGTTTGGGTTTTGGTTCTTAAAGGGAGTTGGGTTCTACGACAGGGCATATTCCTCAATAGTTATAAATTTTAGAAACCTATCATTCACCTCGCTAAAGGTGGTGGTAGGGTGTTTGATCAAATTATCTCTAAACTTCTCATGATTAAGACCTGAGATCACAGCTGCAATCCCCACAGCCTGGTCGAAGAAGCTAACCTCCAATACTGCATCATTGAATATGCTCATATAATTCTTCAAAGATTTTCCATCCCTTTGTTTAACTCGCATCAACTTAGAAGTAGTTTTCCTTATCAACCTTCTATTGGAAAACTTTGTGGCAAAAGCAGATGTCATTTCGATATAAGAGCTGATTGACCTCAGAGGTAGACTGTAATACCAGGTTCGAGCATTACATCGAAGAGGAGAGGGAAAGATTTTGCACATCAACGCGTCAGAGGCATTCTGAGCTTGCATGCAAGAGTAGAAAGAATGTAAGTGATCATCGGGATCCTTCGTCCCATCATAAGTCTCAAGTTGAGGTATTTTGAAGCCAGCAGGATAGGGTTCCAGTGTGATGTTGGTGTTCAGAGGGTGGGGTATGGAGTCAGTGGCACGGTGTGGTGGGGCACCTCGTTGTTCAGCTACTAGCTTTTCTAAGCTGTCTAGACGTCGAGTGACATCATCAGGAAGGGGTTGCTAAGCTGGTGCTATGTGAGATTGGCCTTAAGATTCACTAAGAGCAAGAGCATGCTGAGTTGGTTTAGGGTTTTGCTATGGAGCTGGGGGTTGTGGAGCAGGGTTAAGTAAATTGATGAGGGGATCACCAGGGTTGTTTTGCGCTAAAAGATGAGCCAATACTAGTTGAAAGACACCAAACTGTTGTTGCATGGCGGCAAGCTGAGCCGCAACTACGTCTTGGTTGGCAATAGAAGTTGAGTTATGAGCTGAATTGTGTGGTTGGTTTTCATCTCCTCCTTCTGCATGATCAACAGGAAGGAACATATTTAGGATCGGAGGTGGGAGGTGAGGTGGGAGGTTGCTGGGGACCTAACCTCATCCAAGAGGCTAAGATGAGTTTCCAACTCGGACTGATCGAGTATTAACCATGATAAGAGCAACAAGGGAACTTTCAGTTCGGATTCTCACAGATGGTGCCAAATGTAATTGCATCAAACCAGAAGTCCTTCTTCAGTCCGCGTCTGCACTCCGGATTGACCTGCAAAGCCCCGAGGTGGAACTCAAGGTAGACACTCTGATGCTTAAGTTAGCAATAATCGGGGCTACCTTTAGAGTGGAGATAATAGGAGCTTAGGGTTGGTTTCAATTACCTTTTTGACGTGGCCCTTGGGGGGTATTTATAGGCTCTAGTGAGGAACCCACGTGGCATGCCAAGCAAGATAATCGGAGCCTGACGTGTCTATCCAGATGGTTATTTCGGGATCAAGAATTTGAGGGATATTCAGATGC